TAACATAGCCTATTTGGCGGAGAAGGATGTCTGATGGCTCTGCTATCTTGTGGGGATTAAAGACGAAAAATGGCTCGAGGCATTTCACATAGCACAGTTCAGAGGGAAGAATACTTTCAAGTTTGGCTCCAAATACTGAAAACAAATTTACAGAACTTTTTTTCTTTCTTTGAAATTCTGATGAATTCACAGGCTATTAAAATACTTCCTATGACCTCTACAAAATAAAGAGGGAAAATGAGTATTCCCAGACTGTTCAATAATTAAATACTGTCTCAAAGAGATTTTTTCTCCACCTGTCTAAATACATATTTAAGTTTAAAGTAACACAACCCTGTATGAAAAATGAGTATGATACAGTCTAATCTCTAATCATGTGCAGAATGGTTGCAGGCGAGATCACCTTAGTTACAGCTACTGTAGAGTTACCACTGCAGGTGTGCTCTTCATTCACCTTGAGGAACTACTGCTGGCGAATTGTAAAATATTAGACCAATGAATTGGTTTGCTGTTCCCACTAACCAAGTGGAGTGGTATAATTTAAGGACAGACTTTGCTGGTGGGGTTTATATTCTGGCTTACATTGGGTGCAGCGTGGGTGTTAGAGAGCTGCTTCAATGAAGGAGAAGGCGATATCAAGGAGAACATTGTTGTTATGCTGTTATACACTATTGCTGATGTTGAGCAGAGAGGTACATAGAGAGCGAAGAGGGCACTAAAGAATATGTATGTGTGAGAAGGAATTTTCATTTCACCAAGAATTCAAAGTTATTTCCACTTTGAAACAGAATATTCCTCAACTTTCTTAAAACATTTTTGTTCTGATAAGACAAAAGTTCCTATTTCAAATTTCAATGTATTTTAAAATACTGCAATAGGAAGTGTTCCGATTGAGAAATCAAAACATCTTTTTCTGAAAGTTCAGTCTTGTCAAAATAATGGCTTTTTCTAAAACTCTTTTGTTTTTTTCTTTTAAACAAAAAGTCACTGAAATGAGCCAACTGTATCTCTCCTTACTTTAGCCATGCTGAATGCTGTTCCTAATCATTTAATTCTATGTTCTTTCTGATAAATCTTCTATGAAGCGATTAGCAAAATCATTAGATAAAAAATAGAACACAGAAAGACAAAAGCTGCAATCCAGTTTTGAAAATTAACCTGCTATAAAATGTGAAAGCTGTAGGAGAAACACTGGTGAAAGCAGTGTTCTGATGTATGATGACTACCGAAACTGCTGCGTTGATGCTGAAGGATAATTAATTTCTTTTTTCTCATTGTGGTGGTCTGTAGAAATCTGCAGGATTAAAGATTTAGGACTTTTCAGCATATTTTGGCCATGAAATTATACATTGCACAGGGACTTTTAATTTTTCTGCAAATTTGATTAAGAAAAAATAATCAGGGGAAAAAAAAAAAACCAAAAAAAACAAAAAAAAAAACACAGTCATGAAACAGTGAGCTTGGAGGTCTAAAGAGCTACTGTTCTAAAAGTAGCCCTGGCTCTTAGCCTTTGGGTTTGGAGTCATACCTAGAGCCAGAGATGTGCTTTGTTTCTCTTCCTTTGCAAACTCTCTTCTCAAAAAAAACTCTAAACCACTCTAAACAATTTCAATCTTTCTTTTATTTGCTCTTTTTTCTTCCTTTTCTTTTTTTAATGCAATTGCCTTCTCAACCCCATAACTTTTTTTAAACACAGCAACTTGCCAGAAGAGAAAAATCAGAAGTACTGGCTAAAACAGCTTGGCAAGCTGCCCATTTTAAAATTCAGAGTAGGTGGGCTTAGCTGCCTTGCTGCCCGTAGCGCTCTCTTAATTGCAGAAGGTTTGAGGCTGGTGCCAGGAGTCTGCCACTTCTGGATCTGGCTGCATCCCTGCTACTGCTTAGTGCAGTGTCTTGAAGAAGTCTCAGGCTCTTTGAGCGGGTGTGCTCCGCTGCCTGGGAGTTTAGGGTAGTATTGACTCTTTTTCAGAAAAGAAAGTATATTTTGCTCAGATCATTACGAGTGCACCAAGCCTTATGTCCTGCACCTACGCACATGCATTTGGCACATGCTGACTTGTGTGCAGCTTGTTAGCAGGAGTGGTCACGAGTGATGTAATCTTTAGAGTTTTTTTTTTTCTTTTTCCAATTTGAGGACAGAGCAGTGTTTTGAGTTGCAGAAAGTCTGGCAGGCTGGCCGAGGTTTCAAAATTTTGGACTTTTATTATGGTTTCCATAAACAACAGACTGAAATAATTTCATCTTTGCCTCTCTTCTCCACCTACTATGGTTGGCCTTAACATTTCTGAAATTGGGAGCCTGAAACTTCCTTCTGGTGGTGTTATGGTTCCAGTTGCATCTCAATTATAGACATACATGGCTAAAGTACAACTCCTCACAGCTTTCTTGGGCCAATTTGACAAGGCAGTGAACAAATGGTATTTCTGGAATGTATCATTTCAAATACTTATAGCCATCCTTTTTTGAACTCTCTTCTTGTTAAACCACTGAACTGTGTATCAATGTACAGCTTAAGCTGTAAACTATATGACAGTTTCCTGTCCAGTTCTTCCTAGTTATTTTATTTTGCAACAAAGCCATGTAATCTGCCTGGATATACAGAAAGCTGATCTAGTTCATTTCATGTTAATCTCAGGTTGATCCACTTAATTACTTGTTCCATTAAACACTCCACTGCTCTTCTTTTCCAGTTGGAAAAAGTTGCAGCATTAGAGGAGAGAGATTTTATGCTTGGAGAAACTGAGATTAGAACTACAATCGTGTTGATATTGGAGAGCTGTGTTCGGAGCATGCAGGAACTTTTTAAGCTGCCATGCATGTTTACATGGCTGCTATGTTAGGAAATGATTTCAAACTCTTGAATGGCAGTAGGTGTTACAATGTATCAAAACTTCAGTTTGGATTTAAAAACTTCTATTGTTATTAAACAGAAGAAAGCACATGGGTGTAATAGGTGAATTTAATGGCATTGTTTATAGTAGAAATTGCTTATTTTGGGCATATTTGGGTAGAGGATTTGATGCATTCTTTTATATTGCTATGTAAAATTGGATCCAAACACTATAAAATGGGGAATAAGAAAAAATAAAGGCTTGTGGGATCTCCAGCAATACAGTGTGATAAGTTGCCCAAACACAAAAGCAGAAATAGGACCAAATTGTCATGCATAATTGTGTGGACTAGTGTGTTACCTTGCTTATCCATCCTGTGCTCCCCAATGGTCTTCATCTAATGATATTTCTCAGCTTCAGTAAGTTTGCCTAGCATTTTTCTATTTGGGATATACTATTTGAAATAAGAAGACATTCAAAGATAAACTGAAAAGCTGCTGCAATTTTGATTTGCAGTTCTGATTTTGCTAAATTTTGTGTGAGAGATTCATTAATATCACCTAATGGCCTGCTTCGGAACACAGCCGGAGGAGTGTTTGCTTCGACGGTTTCCTTGAGTAGCCAGTAGGATTCAGCTGCTTTGGACAGTCTGTAAGATAACTGCACAGCAAGAAAGCTAACCGGAATGGGCTGAAACTTGGTTTCATTTCTTAAAAGATGCTTGGAGGGATTGTCATAATTTTACTGAGTTAGTTCTAACCTTTGGAATTCTGGAAATGTTAATTAGAAAGCTTAGTACTGCAGAATTTCATTTATCTGATACTTTTTTTTTTCCAAAACTCACATTAGTCAAAATTAGACTGTCTCCTATGAGTCATTTGCTTTGAAAAGGTCTCTGTTGGCTGAAAACCCAGTGGCAAGGCTAGATTCCTGGTCATGTGTTTGGATAACCAGGGCTCCACTTCACACAGGAGTTAATATTGTGAGGAATAAATACCTTAGCAAGTTGTGAAGTAGCCCGTATTTCAGTCCTGATATCTTTAATTTCAAAGTTTTTTAAAAATTTGAGCACAAACATAAAACTGTAGGTTATGTTGAAGTTTGAAAGGGGAAGTGATTAAGCAATGTGTCAGATCCAGTCTTTTGCCCAGTGCTGAGGAATGGAAGAAAAGGAAGGGTAGCTACCAGAGTGCGTGTGAGCTTTTAGCTTCCTCTTGGTTGTAAGACGGAAAAGTTGAATCTGGGGCACTTAGTGCTGCACGAAGTCAGGTTTTCACTCTGTGAGTGATTGCCATCTGCTTTTATGATTCCTCCTCCTCATTTGTGATTGAAAAGCAAGAACTTTTCATAGGAAGTCAGGTACATTCCTCTTTAACATGAAGGGTCTGTGTCCCCCTATGTGACCCTCAAAGAAGAGAACTGCGAATGCTGCTGAAGTTCCATATCAAACTACAATGGTCTGTGCCATGGGTACACAGCACATTCCAAACAAATCCTGACCAAGAGCACTGAGAAATGACCCTGAAATAAGGGCAGCATCGATTCTCAACAAGAAATTCCAAACAAAGAAAACTGATTTTATCCCTTTGGTCTGTAATGCAGCATGCTCCAGGTCATAGTGCTCTAAGGCGATGATGTGAATTGTGGAAAATAATCTTCTCAGGCTACACTTAGGTTTTCAGCAGCTTCTTGTGCTCATCCAAGTATGTGTTTAAATGCTTTCTTGTACTGAGGTCTAACTAATTTAGGTTTTGTTCTTACTGCTAATAATATTTGGTTTATTTGACTCTAAAAAGTGCACTCCATTTGTGCATAGCTTACAATAGCCAATTAAATATTTACTAACTCCTGGCACCATTAGCTTCACCTTTGTGGGTTTCTGTAATACATTATTCTTACTGAAGGTCTGTTCTCCATAGGATGTGTATGATTCATTTCTATTAGCATTACAAGGAGGCTGGCCCATGCTTTGAGAAGAGAAGAAACCGTTTTGTTTCCAAAAGTAATTGTTGAGTTTTTATAACTGATACCCTAATGAAGTCCAGTCTTGAGGAAGAGAGAGAACAAAATATGTCTTCATAAATCTACCAGAAAATTTTACTTATAAACTGAAAAAATGTATATAATAAGAAACAAAAAAAACTCACAAAGAAAAATTATAATACTTACATTGGTGACGTATTCAATGTCCTTCCAAATATTACATTCCCTGGGAAAATCTGCCAAATCTAAAAAATTATCCACTATCACTTGGCCAATCAAGTCATGCCTGGAGAATCTGTCAAAGTCATATACAGAGAAATGGAGTTTCCGTGTGTTCAGGTCATTGTATGGGACAGAAAATAAAAAAACTTCATCAAATATTGGATTTAGCGTCTTTCTGTGCACTTTAGTCTGGTGTTTTGTTTTCCTGTCGGGAAGTAGATATATCTTCACATAGGGATCTGAAGTTCCAGAGAAGTCCTTTGCTGGCAAGTTGATAGCCTTGTGGATCTTCACTATCAGCTGCTCTAAATCACAGTCGTATTTCAGAATGAAGTTCAGCTTTCCACAGGCCTTGCTATTATTCCTCCGGCCGTCATCGGTGTCCACTGATCTTTGTTTATACAGCTCTGGCTTAATGCGGCCAATCCCTGTCAGCTGCTCCTGTTTCTGAACCTGCTGGATGTTGAAGTCAGGGTTGGAGAGGTTGAGCTGTCTTCGGATTGAATTATGCCTTAAGTGAAAATGAAATGATTTAATTTGATTTTGTTATATGATATCTGTGCGTGCACACACTTAAGATCTTGTATTCATTTGACAGATTTTTGGTTTATATGATACCCCAGAATCAGTTTTTACTTAGCCGAAGTGTTAAAACACAGTATCTAACACAATATGTAACAATTGTTCTTGCATCTGAAGCTAGTGGCATGAACCTAGCTCCAAACCTGGCTGAAAACTGGAACAAGTTCAAACTCATTGTGACTGCACACCTAAAGGATCTGCCTTATTGGCATATATATAATTCGTTGAAACATTTCTTAACTGTTACCATTTTCAACGGAATCCTTTGGAGTAATGCCTATAAAATAAGTTACATTATGTAAATATCAGCTAGATCTGACCTGTTATGCCACCTGAATGTGATGATTTCTGATTTAAAAATAAAGATGGACAAAGAAGAATGCTTCCTAACACCTCCATGTTTTAATTACTAGTTGATGGCTATTACTATTTCATCTGTGAGTGAGCTGCTCTGATTTGAAATGGTTTGCTGCCTGCTCCATCAGTTGTTTTTTCTCTCATAACTGCTAACTGATGTAATAAGCTTGGTAGTACTTAAACTGAAAGCTCCTTTAGTTTCATTACTCCTAGGAGAGAGAGTTGCTTTTAGCTTTGGTCTAGTGAGATTTTTTATCTGGAGTCACTCAGTTATTGTGACTGAAATTTTCACTTCATGATTTGATAGCAGAAATCAAATGTGCAGTTTCTGTAGGGGCAAGGGGATGTGAAAGTTGGTCTAGGTAAAATCCTAATCTTGCATGAATTGGATTTTACTTCTTTGTCCTATTCATATTCTGCAATCATTCAATGTGTTGGAGTATCATGAACTGTGGATGAACATAAAAAGAGCACCTGGAAAGATGATAGTACTGGATTAATCCAAAACTATTTCTTTGGAATGTAATCAGCAATAGTTCCTCTGCTATCATCACTCATTTGTTTCTTATAAATGTGTGTTTGTGTGCTTAAAACAGGAACAGCCCCTTGAAAACTATCCTAGTTTTTCTCTCTTGCTGCATAATAAATATGTAATTATATAGTTACATATTAGTCATTTCCATAACATAATATTAGCATGTGGAGGAAAAAAAAAAAAAAACATATATCACTGATTCCTTAAAGTCATTGTAGTAGTGGAAGGTGTAGAATATCCTAAGGAGGAATGAAAAAGAGGACACTGGAGGCTGTGCTTCCTTCCTGAAGTTGTAACAAGGACTGTAGCAGAGGCTCTGTCATCTCCCAGGAAAGCTGTGGCTCCCTACCAGTTTATGCAAGAAAGGAGCAGATGGAAAAGGTGAACAAAAAGCAGGTGCAGTACAAGGGAGATAAGCCTCCCCTCTGTCATGGAGGCTTTCAGAGAAGTGCAGCTGTTTGACTCGGAGATCCACCAACTCTTTGCGTGGTGATCCTTTTTCTCACTCTGTGAAGCAAACCCCTTTCATCACCTGCCACAGCCCACCCTCTCATGCTCCATCTTGCATGTTCTCTCCTGTACGGCTTTTCCAGTTTCCTGGGAGCCTTCGTCCACTCTTGTTGGGTCACTTCCCCCCCATCACTCATGACTGTGTCTAAAATGTATCACTTTTAATCCAATTTCTAACTCTTGCAAGGGTTTCATCAGCTTGCCCTACTTTTCTTCGACTCCTTTAAAAGTAATTGAGGAGGTATTACTGACTGCTCAGCATCAGTGTTAAGTGCAAATGAACAGGCTTTACAACCTAAATCTAGGCTGCTATGGTGCTGTAAGGAACATGCAGCATTTGTCCTTGTCCAGCTTCTGAGAGGTACAAAGAGGACAGTGCCTGCTCCAGCAACAGAGAGCACCACTGTGGTACAGTTCTTTTAATGTGAGATGTTTGGGCATCTTACAGTACAAATAACTCCAGGTAATTTTTTTAAAAGAATTTTGGGAGTACATTATATATTTGTAGTACAGTGGTATGCTGGATGATGGAGCTGATACTCGGCTGTATCTGCATTTATTAATATTAGAGAGAAATTAGACCTACTGACCGGGCAGAAGAGGTTGGTTCTGTGGTCTGACGATGCATTCGCACATTGTGCACACAGTTCTCTTTTGCTCCCACCTGAGCATCCAGTGGAATATCGGGGGATGTGTGGCTAATCTTCATGGAGGACTCCGGAAATGCTGTGGACTGACCCAGATAATCTTCACTGTATTCATGGTCATTGGTCTCTGTGTCTGTATAGTTCAGTGATTCTTGTTTGTTGTCTTTGTTCCCAAACGGCAGCCCACGCTCTCGCCAAGGGATCCAGCAAAGCTTCCAGGACACAAACAGAGAGACCCCAAAGAGAGCAAGACCACAGGCTGTGACAACTAAGGAGAGCAAGCTTACTGAGATATCTGCAAAAAAAGAAAAACACAGGGGTGTCACATCTTTACTACTTCTTGCTTGGAACTTGCCCTCCTCCAACGTGACGTACAATCTAGGAAGTAAACTACTCCAGACTGTAGAGCTACAAGAATTAAATTTTGGTACCAACAAGAATCATGTAATGGAAGTATGTTAAGTATTCTGTTCTTCTCCCTTGCCCCAGCAGGAAAATTTAACCTTCTTTGGAATTCAGTGTAAGACTGATCTTGAGGCACACAGGGCTTAGCTTATATTATTTTCCCTCTAAAAGCTGAAAGACATGAAGCATCATCCTAAACATGAAAAAGGCTATCCACTTCTTCACTCAACTTCCTACTAATAAATGACCATTGACTACAGTATATTTACTTTTTCTTTCTGTCAGTTCTCTCAGCCTCCATTGCCAGGTTTTATCCTCTGCTTTTCCAGAGATTTTATTGTCCTTGCACACCCATCAACAAGTGCATATGTGCATGTGCACACCTGTCAGGGTCTTAGATATTCAATCTTGAAGTATTTTTATTGAATTAAATATTTTGTTTCTTTAGTTTAATTCCACTCCTTCTAACTTTATTCTCATTTTGCAAATGATATATATATATTTTTCACTATCTACACCTATCCTGCTGTTCAGCATTCACTTTGGATAGAGGTGTCTGTTCAAAACTGAAACTTTTTTTTTTTAACCCAAAGACTCTTTGGTCTTCTTCCAAAATTCTGGTATAAAAGAAGTGTGGAGATGGGTTTTCTATCAGTTTTACTCACATCTCTAGTTATTTAACTCTATAATCACATCTACATAAATAAATTGTGAGTTGGAGGTGTTTTTCTCTATTTTGCTGTAAGGTGTACCTTTTGAAAAATGACTCAATGAAACAGCTGTTTTCGTGGTTACAGCAGTTCTGAAATAAGTTTTTCTGTGGATTATGCAATAGATCATGCCTTAAACAAAATTAGTAAGAACTTTTACTGCCTCAAATTGCTTTGATAAGGTTGTGTTTGTAATTTTCCACATTTTTCGTAGGTTTAAAATGTCAGGATGCATCTCTAACTAACAGCTAGCTTAGATTTCCAAAGGATGGCACAATGTTGAAAAATGCAGCTTCTGCTAGAACAGTTGCTTTGAGTATGACAATTCAGATGAAACAACCTTAATCAGTTTGAGAAAAAAAAATCCATTTTTTTTTTTTTAAACAAAAAGCTCCCAAGTTTCCGGCCCTGCTGTGAGCCTCACTCTCAGTAGATCACACTTCCACCTAGGAGAGGAATGACACCACAATCAGTTTTGCGCAGGAACTCTCCAACTTCCTTTGCATGCTGAAAACCATTTTTAAACAATTTTAACCAGCAGAGCCCCTTCTGGCTTCTCCCAGTTGTAGAAGGAGAAAGTTCATTAATTGTGAGGACAGCCATTGTTTTTCCTAGCTCTACTTATGGCTCCTTGAGGAGTCCTTTTCAAATGCTCCAAGTTGCTTTCTCTCTGTAAAAAGGAAGGTCAGGTGGCTTTAACATGTTGCCTTATTCACTGAGTTTTAAGAAACTATAATGAACTAGGTTATCTGCTCACATTAAAGATCAGGAATATTTTTTTTTTCTTTTATGTGGGGGAAATATTTTTTGAGGGCAGAAGAAAGATAAAAACCTGTGGGAAAACATTTTCCCCAAGGTGCCCCCACCTGTGTCCTCAGAATATAAGAATAAATTTACAGCAAATATCTCCCCCCGCCCCCATCCTCATCTCCAAGGAGCAAAAGAAACAAGTCCAAAGCTTCTACTGACTATTAGTAGCAGGTACTTCTGGAAATCCCGTATCTCTCTTCTCTAAAGACCAGATTTTCTAAGAGAAGATTGCAGAATGTATATGAAAACAGAGAAACTGAGAGGCAAATGGAGAAGATTAAATCTAAAATGAAACAGCTTAAAACTGTAAAAGGCAAAGAAAAAGCATAGAAGCTAAATTGAGCAAGACTCAATATTCAGACTGCTCTTTCGCTCAATCATTCGTAAGCAGCAAAGTGATTATTTTAAGGTGTGATGCTCTTAGAGGTCTTCCTAATTTGGGCTAAACCCAAATATAAAAGACTACCTCAACTTGCTTCTTTTGCAAAGCATATACTGAATAAGATATGCTTCGGGTGAGTACTGAGCATGTCTGGATTCTGATTACTATAAACAACGCTATGAAGTTTTCCCATGAAATATATAATAGTACATAGTACTTATTTTTGGATGTAAAATCAAAACTAGACAAGTTAAAGGGTTTCTCTTCTTGCATTTAACTAGTTTAATGGGGAGGAAAGCTGTATTGTTGCATTTAACTAGTTTAATGGAGAGGAAAGTTGTGTTGTTCTCTGGCATTGCAGATAGGCTGTATTTATAACTAACAAAGCAAACAGCAAGCACAGTGTAGCACTGTTAGGTACACTGTTATCCCCCTATCCCAAGTCTTCACAAGGAGACAGACCACGGATGAAGATAGGAGCTAGAAATGACCTCAGGTATGATTAACTTTGACTTTGTCATTCCCTGTGTTACTGGCAGCAATACCCATAGCTCTCTACTGCAGAGACGAGAGTGCTATTGGTTCGCCATGGTCGGCTGGGATCAGTTTAGGATAAAAAAAAAATACTAATAACTACTTCATTAAGACTAAAAATTCTTGAAATGGGAAATTGTCAAAATTAGGATATTTCAGCTTTTTATGGAAAAACAGACCTTTTTTGCTGTCATTCTTTTATAACAACTAATCTTTCAGAAAAGACTGCTCAGTCAGAAGTCTGTTTTTCATTCATCTTAACATAAAGGTCAATATATGAATGCTTCCAAGTATCAGGTTTTTAGTGCTGAGAGTAAATTATCTAAATACACCATCTTCACATGTGTCTGCAGGTTTCAAAAGCAGCAAGGGGCTTCACAGTGTATTTATCACCTCAGAATGGCAGGAAATGTTTGCATCTTAGATATATAAGAATACATTTCCTTATTCACTTACATGATTAGGGAGACATCCACTTGTGAGCACCACAGACTAGGGTTACTGGAAGGATCAGATTTTTTTATTTTCTTCTCATTCTTTATTTTTCAAAATATTACAGTGAGTATTTAAGTCACATAAGTAAATCTAGTCATGCTGTTAGTAGAAGACCTAAGCAACAGCATTTCTTAAAATCATGTATGTTTTCTACAGTAAAGATTTGCAATAGTGTTCCATACTGTGATACCATCTTCCTGGTATGTGTATATTTGTGTGTATGTTTGTAATTGCTACAAAAAGTAACCTCTGCTACGCTCTCTTCTAAAGACAACTTTGCATTCATCTTTTATTATCAAAACACCATTTTCCATATTATGTAAGACCATTAATCTGATAATTAAGTGAATGAAGAATATCTAAATAATAAATGCAATTACAAACAAGCTTCAAAACAGCTTGAATGTGCTGGAAATCACTCCATTATATACTTCCTTATCCTTGTCTTTCGAATTGCAGAAGGTAAAGCTAATACCTATCTCTGCTTAATATTCTGTATTCTGATAGGAGCTATCTCTAATATGTTAGATGCATCTTTTTTGTCATTATTATCTCTTGGAGAAATTTTGTATTTTGTGCTAGCAGCATATAGAATCTATACTCATTCTACTGGATTTGCATTTTCACTAATTGTTAATTTGACTAGATCTGTATCTTATCTCCTGAAATTATTCCCTCCAGAAAAATAAGAACAGCTAGCTCTTTAATATGAGGAACTACCAAGTACCCTCTCTGCTTTGCAAAGAGCAAGCAAATGTTTATGATTAACGGTTCCTTCATCAACAAACTAAATGGAAAGAGCAGGTGCTGTCAGCCCAAATTTGAAACACAGATGTGTGCAGCAACATTCAAACCCTAGGCACTACCAGCAGACAAAGCTGCCCCCCATTCCTGTGAAGGAAAATTTTGCAGATTCCTGTCTTTTTTTCTGCTGTGCTTTCTTTGCTGTCCTAGATTGCTTCTTGGCAAAGCTCTGTCTCAGTGAGGTTTCTAGACAGAGCACGTCAGCTTTGGCTGTTCAAACTGAAAAAACTGTCAGGCTACGCTGGCAGCAGATGAACCTGTGCGAATAATTTAGTGATACTTCCACCTCTGCTTTAGAATATGTGGAGGAAGTATATTGTGTTTCAGATTTACTGTATAATCCCTCTTACGGATAAAATAAATGTAACTCACTTCAGTAGTTTCAGCCCTAGTCTTCCCAAATGACACATCTCTGTTAGCAAGCTGGCGTTGGGTGGCAGGGAAGGGGGGAGAGGAGGAATCTTTGGGTGCAAACTTGCTCGGCCACACTCGCTGTGCCACCCTGGTTGGTGGTACAGATTTACCTGTACTGTATTCATGCATGAATTACAGAAATAAGTAGGATCAGTAGATAACAAGTTTGGTATATGAGCTAGGTCCAAATTTTAGTATTTTTCTAGTCTGAAAAAAAATCCACAAAACCTCAAAGATGCGCTCCGAATCCACTCCCTCCGATTCTGAGGTCCCAGCAACAAACCAGTGAAATAGTGTATACTTTAGAATAAATACAGTATAGTGATTATAGTTAATTGCAAATGAGATTCTCCATTAGGCTTAAGATGAACCAAAGGAGACAAGCAATTTAACAGATTGCACTTTCAGTGCCAGAATCAATTAAGATTTTCCAAATCCTGTAAATATTAATAGTAATTAGTAAGCTACACATCCCTGAGTGTCTTTGACTGATGTCCAGCATGCGCTATCTTGTTGTGCTTAGCTATTAGAGAAGACAGGCTAACAAGTGTTTTAACAGATAGTCTACAGCACACGTTTTGGGGGGAATTAAGTGCAAATCTGC